CAGCATACTGGTTCATTGAGGACAAAAGTATATTATTTCCAGCAGTAGCAACACATTTGCTTTAAAATAGCCGATTTCTTTGATCAAAAGTGAAACGTTTAATCGCTATAAAGATAAGAGCATATCGCTTTTAAATCACTTAACGAAATGCTAATGTTATTAAACAATTAATGAGATAAATGTCATAAAACAATTAATGTTATTAAAAATATGAAATAAATCAAAAACAAATTCAAAATGCGGTCTTCGAGATACATGTACTGTGTCCGGTGGCGGACTACATGTACTTAAAACTGTGAATCCCTAGGTACCATCGTTTATCCATAATGAGAAAAACATACATATTGCTTACAGATTCTTTATCATACTAACATGCAGATCATCAAATAGGATAAAATCGATAAAAGTTCAATGCTTTTCGAATATATGAAAATATGAAAGCATCTAGTATAAAAATCTAGAATAACATAAATATCTAGTATAAAAAAAAGGATTAAATTAAATGAAAGAAGTGCTAATGTATAAAGCATTATTAAGTATAAAAGTATAATGCTATATTACATAAAAGTTAAATACGTCGGGAAAAACAAAACCTTTTTTCGATTTCTTAGCTTTGAAATCGAACTAATTAATAAAAAACCGTTGTAAAAATAAATTTTAATTAGTTTTTAATTATTTTTTTAAAACTACTAACTGAAAAGAAATTTAAATGTCACAAATCAGTCACCTTACCTATTGGCTAATACATTTACTTTATTCCAGCATTATAAGAAAAACAATGTTGCCATTCGTGACAAAGAAATAATATAATAACATTAAACAACTTTATAAATAATGTATTTCAACAAAACGTTTAATTATTTATTTTAAACTATTTCTAAACTATGCAATATTTTAGCAAAACACTAAAATGCCTGAATTTATATTGGTAATTATTTAATTCCTTAAAAACGATAATTTTCAATTTAACAACTATTTGCTAGAATTGCTGGAAATTTCAAGATGACAGAATTTAGTTATTCGCGAAATAATTCACTCATTCGCAGTGATGTTAGAATTAAAAAATGGTAACTAAGCATGCCTTTTTTTAACGAATGCACTTTTTAATCGACTAATACATTTTATTTAAAGAAATGAATTACTAGAACGCTTCAATATATTTCAAGGTTGCATCACTTTATTAATAAATAAAAATTTTTAGAAGTGAATAAAAAATTTTTATAAGTAAATAGAAATAGTCCCTGTTTCAGTAAAATCCCACTTTGTTTAAGGCAAAGGGAAAATTACGAGAGGTAAAAAATTAATATAGCAGAACAAGCACTATATTAAATCTTCGTGTAGTTTGCAGTTTTAATTCCCTTGGAATATATTTTTAACTTACGTTGTTATTCTGTAAGATTTAGAATTTAGTCTGAATATTTTTTTACCATCTTCTATATGACATGTATTATAAATAAATGACTTCTACATGAAATATATTATTTCAAGAAGGCAAATTGCTAAATCATAAAGAAAAGTATTAAATCTTACATTTTCTTTATTATGTAAGCCAGTAGATGCTTCTTAAATTTCAAACGACTGAAGCCATCTTTTCTAGTTGAAGGTAAATCGAATTTCTTCAGCTCTGGTGACTAAACTTTCTGTTTCAAAAACAAAACACACCTGACGCCGTAGAGTTCCCAATTATATCTATTCAAACTTATTTATTTATATACACAGAATTAAAAAGAATAATAAAAATATAAATAAATTATAAAGAATATAAATAAATTATAATAAAAATTTATTATGCTGATTTGCTTCTGTTTTTTTTAAGCTTTCTTCAGTCGGCTGCCATTTACAAGTTACAAAATTCTAAACTCTAAATGTTGTAATTGTTAATTCTAAATGTAATAAGTACCTAAAATGTTCTTGAAAAGTTACTTCTGATTTTTTTTAAATCAACAATAAAATTCGAAATAAATAAAGTATAATAAAATCACTTACCTAAATTCTTTTACTTTATATTCCAGTAGTTGAAATATTAATCACTGAAATTCCTTTTAGAGAACGCAACTCACTGAAATTCCATCGCAATATTTTGCAATTATACCAATACGAAATCCACAACAGAAATGAGAGTCTATCCTGATTCGAGCAATTTGATGACAAAACTTTAGTGATTATTCTATCGCATGACTTTCAAAACAGCACTAATCATCATAAACCCGCAAAACCCATGCCCATAACTTCCGCCCTCTCACCAATGTCGTCTGCGCACATTTTGGCTTCTCCTCACCGTCACCATGGCGACTGAGATAACCGCGGAAGGTTCAAAAACGAGAGAAAAAATTCGAAAACACCTGTGCTCTTAATCTTCTGTTTGGGAAACAAAATGCAACGAAGGAGGATCGAGTATACCAAAGGCTTCGTGTATTAATCTACGAGGCACGTGACTTTATTTAGAGGTGTTCTACGCGCTGCTTTCCCCAGGTGGTCAATGATAGGGTTACAAGAGCGAGAGAGAATAATCTCAGCGGATCGAGGCCTGGCGAAGTCAAACGGCATTTCACGCGGAACAGAACGCGAAACGATCGCCAAAGCGCAACGTTCTGCTCCCGAGGTTCTTATTTCCGTTAGCAAAAATAAAATGACAAAACAAAACTCGTATAGATGAAAATGATTTTATACCAGTTCTTCGTCTATTCTAATCGCCAAAAAATAAAAAATAAATCGATAAAAAATTTTAAAAATTATACCTTCTTTATACCGATCAAGAGCATGCAAATGGATCTCTTCTATCATCCGACAGAGGCACACGTGTTTTTCACTTATAAGAGAATCGCATTTGAACAAAGCAGAAAGCTGTTGCATTAGCCAAGCGGCAACAAATTATTTTGAATTTTAATTTACAATGCGTCAGCCTTGTATCAATCTGTATAAACATTTTCTTACATCGTCATGACATTATTCAAATAACTTTTTTTCAGTCTTTTGCTGCCCGTTGAGGGATTGTTCCGCTATCAACAAAGGCTGAGTCTTCTTCCACATGCTATTTATTATTAATTAGCTGCATTCACCTCATACACACGTCTCTGATACGTTTAAAGCATCAGACTATACTGCATATATTTCCTGCAGTATGGTTAGTTAGCTCCAGAAATTCTTGTCAAACATCGCTACTCCGGTTATGAAGTCCATTCTCGCTATACCCGTGAAACTATGGATCGAGGAATATTATGGAAAACAACTTCAGAAACTGAACGCTCCATTCGTACAGTTTAAATAAAAATTACACTTTTTGGACAATCTGCATATTTTCTTGTTGGATATGTACAAAGTTCGTTTCGGATGAATTGCCACTTTTACGACTCTTATTTAATTTACATATTGCTTATAGGACACAATATTTCTCCTCATACTAAAAATTGGATTTCGATACAACAGTTATTAAGATGCAGTATGAACCATTTTTAATTAAGTTAATAGTCTCGATTTTCACTTTTTTGGCCGACCGTCTTTGTGAAAAATTTCTTATTTTATGTCTTTACTGATAATTTTTTGGCAGCTTAATGCGCGGAAATATTACGCATGTTTATATTTTATTTTAAAAAAGTGTTTTGTAATTATGATTATAATATATATATCGAGAATTCTAAGCATATGCTGCTTTTAAAATTTTTTTATGATTTTACTGTTGCCATTTTAAGTAGTGTAAATGATGTTTAATAAATAAAGCTAAAAGACAAAGTTAGTAATGCTTGGAATGCATTTATTTATATTTTATCTTAATATTTTATGAGTGTGCTGTCGAATTTGATGTAGCGAAAGTTCAAAGAAAATTAAGTTTAATAAATAGAACTAAAAGACAGAAAGTTTTTAATAAAAAGGACAAAACAAGTTGTGCGAGTCATCTTACTAAGAAAACTGAACACTGATAGAATAAACTGGGAAAAGACTGAAAACAAAACAAAAAATGCACGATAACAATTTAACGCTGTATTCAGACTTCTCAAGTTAGGTAGCTTTGAAACATTTTTTATGTTGCTACCGAATATAACGGGGCGTAATTGCGAAGAAAGCGATCATTATTACTGCTCACCAGCGGCCGGAGTGGAAAAAGTCCCTGAATACTGGTAGTTCGGTCAAGGGTTTGAGTCAAAGCGAGCGGGATGGCTGCTTGGGCGTTTTCGTGGTTTTCCCCATGTGTAACGTGAATACGAGCCAGTTTCCTTTAAAAAGTCCCCCATGGGCATCTCTCCCTTCCCGTGTAATGCCCAAAATAATATTACATATTATTATTATTATTACAAATACACAGAACTTTTCCTTAAGGGGTATCAGCAACCCTTATACCGACAGTGTTAAATTGGCCATTTTCGATGTACCTTTTCTCAAAATCTGCTATAGATACACACTTGAAATTTTTTGTGTAATTAAAGTATACCTATCTGATTATACTGAAATGAGCTTTTGAAACATTTAGAAATTTAGAGTAATTTAGAGAATATTTTGTTAGGCATAGTAAAATTTAGCACTTTTCTCACACACAAAAAAAAATTTTTAAAGTTTATCACAAAAAGCTCATTTCAGTAAATATTAGGAAACCTAATAAATAAGCCGTAAAAATTTTAGATACGTGTGAGCTGTAGTTCCTGAGAGAAGGTACATCAAGTATAAAAAAATCACGTTTGGAGAAAAACGCGTTTTTATGTAAAAATCCTCATCGATGGCAGTCGATGACAAATTAAAACTAGATTTTTTACAGTTGTAATTTTCATAGAGAATAAAGAATGGTATTTTTAGAAAGATTAAAGTGTAGAGAATTTGAAAATGCAAAAATCCAAAATCACAATTTCTTGAAGATTTTGGGGTTCCAACACCCCTTAATCCATTTCATATCGAAGCTCATTCAGTCTCTCAGCAACGCATGAGTAATAGAAAATTATGGCACACATAAAACAATAATTGCTCACCGTTTCCGGATGATGCGAAGCGTGTGATAAGCTCGCCGCCGATGGCAACCCAGACGAAAGAGTAAACTTTTGGCCTTCCGCTTGCCTGGAGCATAGCTTTACAGCTGTTACGTCAGTGAGACACAAAGGCCGTGATATCAACACGATACAATAAAACGTCCAGAAAAGAACTGGTGGATAATTACTGTAAATTAATTATCATTAATATGACATTAATTATTATGTCCCAAAAAGTCTAATATACTGTGATATAAATCTTATTTAAGGATTTGAAGACACAGCTTGGTTAACTTTTTTCTTATTTGTCGTTAGATTTAAATACAAATTTTTGCAAATTCAGTTACATATTCGTGCAGGAAGTATAATTGCTTTGCTTGGGAAAAAAACATTTACATGTGAAAATTCTTTTTTTTTTTTTTTTTTTTTCCCGTCGTTGAAAATTAATAAATTTAAAAAAGGGCCATATTTACAGATGAACAATGAAGAGACATTAGGTTATTTCAAAGCAAGAGACATGAAAAATGTGCAACGTCCTCGTCGGGTCTCGAGCCTCTGACCTCTCGAATACGCGCCGAGTGTGCTGACCATTACACCTCGAAGGCATGCTAAGAAGGCTGGAGAAATACTTTATAACATCTACAATTCATTTCCAGTCATTTTTCTCCAAATTGTTGTTGTAGTGAGAAATAAAGACGTTTATAATCATTTCTATACAATATATGTATTTTTTCTAAAAAAGAGTCATCGTTTATACTCTAGTTTTGTCCCACTTGGAAAGTTTTCCTAACTTGTTTAGTTTTAGCTTAAATTTAAAGAAAGTTGTGTAGTGGTTAATTCAACACATTACAATTATTTGAAATGAATGTCGGCCTGAAATTTATTACTTAGCTGTCAATACGTTTGAATTACAAGGCGTAACTACTAGAAATTTCTTGTAGACTCCAATCTCAAAATTCAATTAAAAAGTTTTGTTTTCTAAAATCTTTTTTTTTCGGGGGGGGGGAAGGTCGGGAAAAAGCTCTTGGCCCATCAACTGCTCCCAGATCGTGCATTCCATACAAGATTTCAGACTCCAAGTACTCAGACGCCTTCACATTCGCTGATTTAGCAACCGCGGTCTCATTTAACCACAAAGAAGAAACGGAAATTAAATATGAAAGAAGTATTTATTATTATAAGCTCACTCATAGTGTTTGCCGCTATGACTATGAATTTAATGACGAAACGATTTTTCGCGCATATTTTGCCTTAATGAATAAAATAAAAATCCAAGTAATTTACTCTTGCATTATCGGAAAATCTTTAAAAGGAAATTCGTATCAAATTTTTAGCGACATTTTTTTTTTTTTTTTTTTTTTTTTTTTTTTTTTTTTAGTCCAAAGGGGCTTTGTTTCTGATGGACTATTCTTTTCGTTTTGCGATTTTGCTTCGATTCACTACAAACGGCGAATCACTTTTCAATTTATTGCCACAAAGTATTATCTCCCTGTGTTATATTTAAAGAAATTAAATAATGAAAAACCTGCATCAATGTATGTATATTTCTCGCACTGTTACAAAACAACGGTACCTAGAGCCATCGAATTTTGAATGACGTAATCCTCTTACGAATATGGGCATGTGGAAGATCAAATTTGAAATTTGGAATTTGTTTTATTATCGATTTCCTATTTTGTAAAACTTTAACGAATTTTTGATTAACAAACTCAAGGATTTCAAAGCGAACAATGGCAACACTGTGCAGAGAAAACATTTTTATCTCCAACGCGCGAGTCTCTGTATCGGAAATTCTAAAGATATGCTCAATTTAAAACTATTTTTCGATATTACGGTTGAACTGAATTTTATGGTTTAAGTGAGAAGAACGTGATATTTAATAAATAAATCTAACACATAAAATGTTAAAAAAACGCCCCTTTGAACGTAATTTAAAATTGAAACATTTCAGACTTTTTTTTTGGTCAAGTTTTGAATATGGTTCGAATATTTTCAACTATTAGCCGTTTATGATTTTATAATTTGAACATCTAAAAATACATCTGTTGCAAAATTTTGAACATCTCATAGATTGCAAAACAAACTCTTCGTCCACTATTAATACAATAATGGTTATAATAATAATAATAATAGTAAATTAAAAAAAAATACTACACGCTTTTCTCAGTCACCCCCCCCCTTTTTTTTTTTTTTTTTTTTTTTTTTTTTTTTTTTTTTCTTTTCCCTTACGACGTACCGCCCAACCCCCGAGAAGAAAACTTCATTTTTGGATTTATACGCGCCCAGTCCTCCCAATGCAGGTTCAAACACAAACTATTAATGCATAAATACGCATGCGCTGTTTGGCCGGATATTTCATTTGTATGCAATACTTCAGAAAATACACGAACATAGGATTTTATTGTTCTATCACAATATCCCCTTCCCCATAATAGTCTTTAGAGGGTCAGGCGGAACCTCACATTCCTCTATTTTCATACGCTTAACATAAATTTCAGTTTAATTGTAGACAATTAGTTGCTTCTAATAAACTTTATGTTTGACGTTGGTAATAATTAGACGTAAGTTGTTAATTCAGCGCCTTTTTTATGCATGTTATTCGAATAACGCATTTGATATTAACATCTGTTTCTGACCCACGGAATGAGACAGTTTTTAACTCGAAATGTTTTAATCGTCGAAGTTCCCTACAGCATATTCTAGTGTCTTCTATAATTAGAAGACATGAGGCTAATGCTAGTATTTGGTAATGGTATGTTGTTCCTATCACATTTTAAATAAGTTCAGGATGAATCCAAGATTCATTATTATAAACGATAATCCTACATCATGATCAATGATCCAGATCAGAATAATCCTGTATCATCATGATAAGTTCGAGATCAATCCAGGAATGATTCATGGACTGAACAACTGGATTAACCAAGATTAATCATGAATCACTATAACTCTAGATCATGATGAATATTCCAGAGCTAGAATAATTCAGGTTCACAAGTAGTTACCACTTCAAACTACTAAGAATGTTAAACGCAACGTAATGCAAATCTAAAAAGTGAAGCTCGCACGGAGATCTCTCAAATACTCCGAAGTCAACTCTGAAGTAAAAACTATTGCTATTGCTCTCTCCAGTTTTGTACAGTTTTCCCCCCGGTGGCCGAGAAATTTCCATTACCATCGATTTCTCGAAATAGTTGGAAAGCATTTACAGTTACTGGTACAATTATATATGCAGTTACAGTTGCACAGGGATTGGACTAAAATGTCGCCCATTTCTCACCAAATTTGAGTATAAAAATTAGTTGCCAATCTGTCAGTAATCTCAAATCCCAAAATCTCAATGTTAAGTGGACTTAATAATGTTAACAATGTCTTACAATGTCTAGTTAAGTGGGCAATGCCTAGTTAATTGTTAAGTGGACTTAACAATGTACTTAACTATGTACTAACAATGTAACAGTTGTAAAGTGGACTTAATTGTTAATGGACTTAAGTGTACAATGTCTAGTTAATTGTTAACTGGACTTAACAATGTTAACAATGTCTTACAATGTGTCTAACAATGTTAACAATACTTAACAATATTAGTATTGTTAACATTGTCTTACAATGTGTCTAACGATGTTAACAATACTTAATGTGTCAATGTTAAGTGGACTTGAGCACTGTAAGCTTATTTTTCCCACGCCGCTTCACTCTTGAGGATTTTCATGTTAAGCGACTCTACATATAATTTCACTGAATTTATTTACATATATACAAGATTCGTAACAGTACTTCAGCTTTTCCTCTCATTTTGGTTCAAGTGAATTGTTCAAAATAAGTTTAATCAAGATCGAATAGAACTGTACCTGGCCGTGTAGAAATAACGATGCGGCATTGAACGGTTTTAGTCAGAACTGCTACTCGTCTTACTGTCAATCATATACTTTTCGGAAATGAGCTTTCGGAAAATCGGCATCCACATTGACAGATTTCTTCACCATTTTTCAAAATACGCGTGAGAATCCGATTGTTAACTTGGCCTTTTCCCAAAACCGCTTAACAAGAAAACTGAAATAATGAACCCATTGAATTATTCATATGAAGGTATGATAAATTTATGCATAACAAAATAACTTTATTGTTTTATTCAATGGTTCAAATGAATATTTCCACTGAATGGCTCCTTGAATTGAATAGAGATGAACTGAACTGAATGGAAGGAACATTGGATTAAAAGGAAATTGATGGAGATGTATTACAATGGCGGACATTGAATGAACACTGAAAGTTTATTCATTGGACTAGAATGCCTATCCATTCATTCAATCAATGAAATACAAATCCATTTAATGGGATATTATTTGTCGATAAGTTCCCATGAACAATTCTTTCAATGTATCGATGTACATTCGTATGAACATATTCATCCCTCCACATCCCTTTCACATTCCATTCTTCCACTGAACTGATATGGAATATGATATTCATATGAACATTCATTCTGTGGAGCAATGGATGCCATTCAGTGGAATAAATTAACCGTTTAATTCATTAAATGGTCTATTAAATGCAGGGCTGGATTAACTATTAAACAATATAGCAAACTAATTATTAAGCAAATATCGCGTGCCAAGGACAACAAGGAAATGGGACACCACAAGAATGTTCTCTGGTATTCAGGCAACACAGTAGTACCAAAAAATTTAACATTGCCGGTTCTACCATAAATGCATCGCACAGTTAAACCAAAAACCAGAGAAAGTAGAAGCATAATAAATAAAATAAATATCTGAAAGCTTTCAGATTTGGGGGTACCAAAGGGGTGTTTTATTAACGTTTTGTGGGTTACCTTTATTTATTGAACATCATGTCCTTCGCACTTAAACCATAAAATCCAGTTTAACAGCAATATCGCAAAATAATTTTAAAATTAGCATATCTTTAGAATTTCCGATACACAGTCTCGCACACTCGAGATAAAAATGTGCTTAATTTTTCCCCCGTACAGTGTTCCCATTGTTCGCTTTGAAATCGTTGAGTTTGTTAATCGAAAATTCGTTAAAGTTTTCTAAAATATGAATAGTTAATAAAGAAAATTCCAAATTCGGGCTTCCATATACGCATATTTGGGTGGAAACGTACGTTAATCAAAACTGGATGGCTCTAAGTGCCGTCGTTTTATAACAATGCGAGAAACATATA